ATAATAATAATAATAATAATAATAACAATAATGATAGTAATAATAGTAATAATAATGACAACAATATAAAAATAATAATAATAATAAGAATATTACCTCCTGGCTGTCTACGACAGTTTTGACTGTACATATAATAATTGATAGATAGCATTTGTAGAGCACACATTCCCACTCAACAGCAAGCTCTATGTGCTTTACAATCTATATTATTACCCCAGGAGACCTGGTGACAGCATTCCGAAACAATCTCAACTTCCTGGGATGCATACAGTGGCAGTGGAAGATGCCATTTTACAGGTGCTAAAACGCTATCATACTAATAAGATTTTTCACTGCACTGCCTATGGCCGGGTACCCATTCCCTCCTGAGTGAAGTGAGAAAATTTCGCGTAAAGTATCTTTCCCAAGAACACAGCATCGGACCTGAAGCTCTAACCCCCGAACTTGCAACCTCATGGTTATGAGTCCAGTAGCCTAACCACTAGACCAGCGACACCACAACTCCTCACCTGGTGACCTTTGTACTTGATGAGTTCCTTGAGCCTCTCGCTGATGTAGAGGACACCTTTCTCAGTGAAGTGGCCGATGTCACCTGGAGACACAGATGATGCGTGTCAAGGACACACAGAGAGGGCGTGTCACGGACACAGAGAAGGAGTGTCAAGTACACGGAGGAGGTGTCTCAAGGATACAGAGGAGGAGTGTCAAGGATCAGAGGAGGTGTCTCAAGTACACAGAGGAGGTGTGTCAAGGACACAGAGGAAAGAGGTGTCTCAAGTACACAGAAGTGGAGTGTCAAGGACACAGAGGAAAGAGGTGTCTCAAGTACACACAGGAGGACAGTGTGTCAAATACACAGAGGAGGGAGGTGTGCCAAGTACACAGAGGAGGGAGGTGTGTCAAGTACACACAGGAGGAAGGTGTGTCAAGTACACAGAGGAGGGAGGTGTGTCAAGTACACAGGAGGGAGGTGTGCCAAGTACACACAGGAGGGAGATGTGTCAAGTACACAGAGGAGGGAGGTGTGTCAAGTACACACAGGAGGGAGGTGTGTCAAGTACACACAGGAGGGAGGTGTGCCAAGTACACACAGGAGGGAGGTGTGTCAAGTACACAGAGGAGGGAGGTGTGTCAAGTACACAGAGGAGGGAGGTGTGTCAAGTACACACAGGAGGGAGGTGTGTCAAGTACACACAGGAGGGAGGTGTGTCAAGTA